GTGAGAAGCAGGACGGTCCTCCACAGGACAGATGGACCCCGTGGCTGAAGCCGTGGCCTCAACCCAGCGGTGGGCCCGAATGATTTAACAACCGGTTCACTGCCCCAGGGACCACGTTAAGTATCTTTTTAAAGGTTGTTTATTATTTCACATCATTAATACTTAAACGAAAACGATAAAAGAGGTACACAAAATGAGATTGTTATAAGAAAGGGTTCTTGAACATTAATGAAAATTACTAAATGATACCTGAACCCATAAAGCAAAATCAAACCTGTCATTTATTGTGGTAGCGATTGTGCATTTCTCCTTGACAGGATTGAAATATGGAATGATATATGTATTAAATCCCAACATTTTTTAAACTATCATTTAAAATATTCCCTTATTGCTTCTTAATGGATGTCCTCACTTGCCGCATTCTCCGCTTTTATCTGAACACCATTGGCTGTGTGATGTATCCTTAACCACTGTAGGAGTGGGACCCGGTCCTTTTGAAAGGCAGGCCCATCAGTGTGTTGGATAGATTAGAAATGGGCAAAGACGTCTCGGAACATACCATGTTCAGCTTTGAAAAGCCCCTTTCTGTTCTGTTGCAATGACAGCGATTGCTCTGACCATAGTTTTAGCTCTTTGAACACTTGGAGGAATCGCATCATTCACCCTTATTAACATCTTGTGGGCATTTGGGGCATAACACCATGCGCAAATGAATGGCAGTGTGTTGCCCTCTGGTGGGTCAGCATGTCTTTTCCTCTTTATAGGTTTGCTTGCTGCTGTGATAACATTCAAAAGAACTTCCACATGCGGTGGCTGCCCAGCTGCCCACCTGAGAGAGAACCCTGATTCCAAGTGCCATCTTAACAACCTGTTGGCTGCACTCAACAAAAAATGAGGTGTCGGTTTTGCAAGACCAGCATGAACCGGCCGAGCCACTGGCTCAAATGTAAGAGCAGCTGCGAGGATGCCTCGGGTCCAGGCAGGGTGGCGTCTGGTTGTGCACGGGCTGCTCAGCATGGGAACTGACTGGGTGGCACAGACGACAATGACATGCATGGCAAATGCCCAACCCTTCCTGTAACCTCACCCTGACCTAACAGTGGAAAGTGCTCCTTGGTGTGGTGCTTGCTTTCTGGTCACCAAGTGTGGCAGGGACGTCATCTCCTGTCAACTTGCGAAGGGGTGGAGTCTAGCCTGTCAATCAGGTCATAGCCCAGGAGGCCTCTGGGTGGGCATGGCCTTCTCCTGAGGATTCTGGGAACTCCTGCCTTCCTCCCTGAGGAGGGACACACTCTCTCTGCTTCGTCTTCCTGCTGAGAAGCTGCATGGATCTATGCTGATGGAGCTATGCTAGTGCCCTGAGCTGGAGGAGCCACGTAGAGACCCCTGCCAGCCTCGAGATGCTTCCACCGCCACTGGATCCACAAGACTTTCTGCCCACTGGCCTGTGATCCTCCTGCCTTCGGCGTCAGTGCACGTGTTCTGTGAGTCTGAAGATGACATCATAGATTGGTATTGGACATTTGGGCTAACATCGGGCTGATGGACTTGATCTGGACTGGGCTGGGATGTTTTCTCAACACTCAACTGCTCCTGTAGATAAAGCTCTTTCTTACACACCTCTGAGTGTCTCTGAATTTGCTTCTCTAGTCCCCCCAGACTGACACACCACCTCTTCCCCCAGGACCTCGCTTCAGTGGTTCATTGTTGAGCTACAGCCCTTACCAGGATCAAGCACCACCGAGGAGAGAGGTGCTAGGAGAGAGGTGCTGCTTAAAGGAGGACGGCGGAAAGCCAGTTTTTCACTGCTTTGGAAATCACGAAGGTCCCTGACTCCTTTTCTTCATTGTAGACTATTCGGAATGGACTCTCTTGTTCAGGTGAGATCTGCAAGGGGAGGGTAGACTCTTTCCCACCTGCTCGGCACATAGAACCTGCAGGCACTCCTGCAGCCGGATTCTCTGGGCTCTCTAGGGGTGCCCCTGACTCTTGGTCCCTGCTCTTGCCTCTGCCCGCCGGTTCTGCACCCCTGTTCTACGTATTTTCCGGCTCTCCCCTGAAATGCCCATTTTCAGGCACGAACTTTCCCACGGCCCCTGCCATGCCCCTTTCCAGGGATCGTGTGTACTTTCTGAGTGTGTAATTCCTGAAACTTCCCTTGCCCTCATAAAAGTTACCTGGATTTACAAAAGTGCTTCTGCCGCGTGAATTCGTTCAGCGTTGAGAAGCAAGAACCGAGGTAAACCACCCCAGAAACTTCAGCGTTTCATAATATTTTTTTCAGTGAGAATCACGTGCTCATTTTCTTTAAAAGGGTAAGGTGTGAATGATTGAACTCTTCAATTGTCTGATATGTAAATTGTGTGCCGATAAAACTGTTTTAAAAAAAGGAATGCTCAGAATGTTGCTCTGGTGGGAAATGTGGTTCGAACGAACAGACCCCAGCCCTGCCGAGTTAATACCCACTCACAGGAGCCCTGTGGGACAGAGCCGGCCCACTCCACTGTGTCTGAGACTGTGCATCTTGATGAGAGCAGGGACCTCAGACGGTCCGGTCCACGTGGTTTGGTGGATTTGAATCACCAACCGTGTGGTCAGTAGCCTGGTGCTGAACCCACAGTGCCACCCTGGCGCCCAGTAAATGTGGTCTGCCGTGGAAAGCTTAACACCACGCCGTAAGGGCTGCAGCAGTTGATGGGCTTGGCTGAGCCATGATCCTCTGTGGCGGGGCCGTTATGGTCTACTCTAATTAGTCACTTCCATGCTGAGCTCTGCTACTGGCAGCCAATCAGTTGAAGGGGAATTTCTGTGGGGGTGTGGCCTGCTTCCAACCTATGTGGATATTTTGGAAAAGCTTGCTGGCTATTTTTGCTGGTTGTGGATCCTGCCCCAGTTCTTCATCATCAGGACTCTAATTTGGGGGCTTGAGCCAGCGACCTGCCGCATTGCATGCTGGTCTCCCCACATCCCCGCAGAAAAGGCCGGTGGCCTGATGTCTGACCTGCAGACTCACCAGTTTCTGCAACCATGTGGAGCGTTTCCTGGAGATGAACCTCTGTGAGTGTATAAGCATCACTGGTATTTCCTCTCCGAGAACTCAGCCCGAGACACTGGCTTCCACGCCGACTTCTCTAATCCAGCCGGTGTCACCCACTGCAACGGAAGGAGCAACATTTGCGTATTAGGAGGACAGCTCGCTGCCGTCCAGTGGACTCCAACTCTGGAGACCCTGCAGGACCAAGCAGGACTGCCCGAGGGGTTACTGAGGCTGCCCATCTCTATGGAAGCAGGCTCGGGCCACATCTTCCTCCAGAGGAAGGCCAGCCTTTGGGTGAGCAGCCCGGCGTGTGAGCAGGGTCAGGACTTGGGGTGAGCAGGGCCCAGCGAGTGGTCAGGGTCTGTTTGCTCCCCTTCCCTTCCTCCAGAAGGCTCTGCCTCCCTTGGAGGAGGCCCGTCTCCACTTCCGGCCCAGCCCCCAGGAGCACAGCTGCCCCCACCCGTGAACGGCTGGCACTGTGACTCATCCCAGAGTCCCATCTGCTCTCTGGCTGTCAGCACAGGAAGGCCCCCCTCCACCCCGCCTGTGAGGTGCCCCCCCACATTCTTCAGAACCTCTGGCCCTGGGATTTCCCTGAGACATAAGAAAGTAGGACTCGCCCCTGCTATGGGGTCCCCGCTGTCCCCAGGGAGGCTCTCAGCGTGCTAACAAAGCTCATCTGGGGTCCTGTCTGCACACGTGGGTCCCGAGGGTCCACGCGACCACGTGCTGCTGCCCAGTCTGTCCCCGGAGCCCAGTTCTCCTGTTCCAACTTTAGGGGAACAGGCCGCTTTGGGGAGATTCCCCAAGATCATCCGGGGTCAGCAGCCTCCCTGTGCCCTTCTCTCCACCAAAGAGCCCAGACGTCTAATGGCCTTCCCAGGCCCGTGTGGCGGCCCTCGGTGGTCTTGGCCTTCCTGGACTCGTCCTCCTTGGTGACCTGACTGCTGTGAGGCCAAGGCCACCTCCACCCGCCGTGGTCAGTACCACTCTCCTCCAAGGTGCAGGGCAGGTGGAGATGCCACTGTGACCAGTAGGAACACCAAAGGTGGTGGGTGGCCATGGGTGGCAGTGGGGGGGGGTGTAGCAGAGATCTCGGCACAGGTGGTGATGGCAGCCACGGCAGTGGGAACCCCGATAGTGGTGCCAGTGATGCGTAAGCCTGCAGCCACTATGATCTCGGCTGCTGGTGCTGGCGGCCATGGGGGTGGGGACGGGCTGTCCCCAGGCCACCTTATCTCCCGGCTTCCCCAGTCTGGGGGGCACCTGGGAGATGACAGGAGGGAAGGAAACA